GCTAAAGGGGCTGTTGTGCGTGCCTCAGAAGGATAAAGCTAGAAGGGGAGCTTCTCATTCTCTGCTGGTAAAAAATGATGTAGGTTTAAAAAATGATTTTAGAAAATGCGGTGATGGTAACGGAATGGCCAAGAAAAGGTTAAAAATCTCTCGTCTCTGTTAGCTGAGCGGTTTTTCATAAAGTACTCCTGTCACGTTCCAAACGCATTGCCGTAAGAGTAAACCTCCAGGAAAATACAGCGTGCTAGAGCTTCATTGATTCCTATGTTGTACCGCGTACGTACAGTAATTAAATAATCAGCACGTAGATGACCGTGATAAAATGTGTTTCTTCTGCCTCCTAAGGAAAGTCCTTAAGTGAGTGAGCTGCTAGGGATGATGAGAGGGACAAGGGGGATTTTATCTTCTTTATATGAGTGATGGTCTGATCAGAAAGTAGTAACATATAAAACAGAAAATAATCATTGAAAAACGAAAGGATTTTTACAAATTTGCTCCACTCCCAATATGCAAACACGTGAATCACTGTGATCTTCTTTTAATCAAGATTCTTTGTTTCTATCACTCATTGCTTCTTCCTTCTAAAATAAAGGAAACATGGAATGGATTATCGTAGAGGCAGCAATAGCTAGTTTCTCGGCTGTCGTACGGATCCTCTGGTTGCAATACTTTCTAAGGCCACGGTTCCCAACCTGAGGCCCTATGGTATATGATGTACAGCCCTTGGACTTCAGTCTGTATTGGGAACATTGATTTGAGTAATAGTATTGATCTTCACTAGCCTCTTTTAACATGTTCCCAGTTTCATATTGTCTTCTGCATCATATCCCCAGCCAGAAATGTAGCATATCCACACACTTTGACCCTCATTTCTTCTATTAGGTTTGCAGTTTCTGACAGTCCTCTCAAGCATTGCCTATATTGAACATTAGGCATGGCCCTTTGGTATAAAATATGTGGCCCTCAGACCTCAGCTATCTTTAGTGGAAACATTGATTAGGGTAAAAGCATTGATCTCTAGTAGCCTCCTTAAACATGTTCCCGGTTTCGTATTGTCTTTTGCAGCATATCCCCAGACAAAAGCATAGCATGTCCACACTCTCTGACCCTCATTTCTTCTATTAGGTCTCCAGTTTCTGACAGTCCTCACATATACTACATAAATTGAAAATTATGTGTGGCCCTTTGGTGGTCAGAGGCCACATTTGAGGGTCCCTTTAGCTCATAAGTTTACAACCACTGTTCTAAGGCCTGGAAATCAGGAGCTTGCTTTAGGCAACTTCTAAGTGTTGCAGCCAGGCAGTTAGCATTTTTAGAAGGTGGTCAACAGTGGAAGTTATTCTTTTGTTTTATCAGTATAGGTCTTAAATTGGAACTTTCAATAACCTTTTAAGGCTGCATGAATACATTCCTGACATGTTCCTGTCTGCAGCAAAAGTATAATTAAAAAAACAAATCTATACCTTTCAGGCTTGAGTGTTTTTGCTTTAGCCAATGGAAAGGTATTTAACTAAATATAGAAAGAGTCTTAGCAATTCTATCATGTATTGCTTCTCACCTGGATGGCGAACTACGTATGGCCCGCAGGCCACATCTGACCTGCTACGAGATTTTATCTGGCCCATAGTTAGGGTCAGTGGCGTATCCTATGACTCCCTGCACAGATTGAGTATTCAGATTAGTTGATCTCCACTTCTAATTTAAGGGGGGACTTGGATATGTAAGGGGAGCTCTGAAATGACGGGGGGGCTTCTGATGTGAAGGGATTCTCTGCTGTGATGGGGGGCTTCTGAGATGAAGTTATTTATTGGAACACGTTTATTCATTCATTTAAATTGTATTCCTTTTATAAGTTACCGGTATATCTATATATGTTTATTTTTTATTGGCCAACAAATATTTGTAAAATATACAATGTGGCCCTCATTCTGAAAAGTTTGGAGACATCAGGTGTAGAACATTAGTAAACTGAAATTAGTGTAAAACATGAAAACCATTCTAATGCCAACAGTCTGTAAAAGGTCATTTTGCCAGATAAGGGCTCTTTCACACATGATCCGATCAAGTCCACCTGTCACTTTTTAAGGTGGACCTGATCATGATGTCCATGCATTCCTTTGGACCAGGAGGTGTAAATGGACTTGTGCCGTCCAGCTCTGATCAATCCCACTAAAAAGAAAATGGAGGAGGACTGCATTCTCTTCTGTTTTGGTGAACTGGAACAGAGGCACCCGGGTGTAAACATGCAGCGGAGTCCGTTTAATCAGGGACGCTCATAGAGCCTGTCATCCACCCCGCTCTACTCCAATCAGCAGGGGATCAGCACACAGATCCCCTGCTGATCAGAACAGAAGCCACCATTGTGAAATGGCCCCCAGGTTCTGTGAAATCGTAAGCAGGACCTAAATAAAAATCATACTGTACATGCCCTGGTTTTTAAGAAAAATAATCTAAATGATATAAAACTGTATTTTCAATAAAAGGTCCTATTGCACTTTACAGTTGAAACATTTTCTTGCCTAGAAGCTAGCAGCGATGGAGTTAATCTACTGTAGACCCGCAATATGTGTAAACATTTGTAGTCAGGTTCAGTTCTCAGAGTATCGATTCACTGATGGCGAAGGATTGTGATCGCTGACAGTGTGGTCCAAAGGAAGTCTGTGGGAATCATTGATCTGTGCAAAAAAAATTGACAAGCCTGAAATCTAAAGGGGAAGTGCCATGCGGAAACACGAACGGGCTATTTATGTGCATAAATATTTTATATTCAGAAAAATGTAGCTTTCACATAAGCGGCAGAGGTTATAGGTGCGTAATTTATTGAGTCTTTCCTTATATATGGCTTGCGAGTCTCTCTGACTGCCCATAATCAAGCCCCCAAGGCGATTAGTAGCTGGTAATGAGAAACCCCTCTCCTCCCCCTTCTCCCGCTTATGTCTGCTACTTCCACATTACAAGGCTGCGCGGAATCTTAAGTTTCTACTTCTCGAATCGCCTATTGTGAAATGAGCTTGCACCATCACGATTTTCTCTTTTTTCTTTTCATATGGCAAACAACAGACTACTGCATTTCCAATCAGTTTGCAAGCTCTTTCATATGGAAGGGTCTTTTTGCACACGTAAGTAATGCACCATTTCTACATCATGCTCTAGGGCAGTAGGATAGTAAAACATACTGTGCAAGGAAATATGGTGAACAGACATCGCTTTTTCTCTTATGTTATCTTTCTATGGTCTTTAATACAGAAAGAGCAGCGCTATCATAATACCATTAAGGATTTTTTCCCTTTCCTTTTTTTTCCTTTTCCTATTAATTATCTTTTCTTTTTTTTATGGTATAAAGTTTATCTTTGGATAACAGTAAAACTGTATACCAAAAATGAGGATTCCATTTGCCAGATGATTGGAGTTATACAATGATATAATTAAAATGTAATCACGATGTTGTCCTTTCTTGAATTAAAAGCCTTCGCAAATGTTCCTTTGAGTGGGGATCTTTCTGACAACTGCGGCTTATCCCAGGGGAAAGGGGGTTCTCAAAAGACTCAAAAATAAGAATATTATATGGAGGAAAAATATGAATGTTATACACATTGTGTTGCATGATTACTGTACAGTCAGCTGCTACAGATAGATGCATACTAAAAACTGAAGCTGGATTTAAGGTTGGTTACCCTTGCAGTGGGGCACCCCTCAGCGCTGCAAGGGTTAATTGTTCACTTTGAAATAAGATGAAATACTTACCTTATCCCTGGTTCCAGCTTGCTTTTTCCTCTGCATAAGTCACCTTTTCCTTGCAGCCCTATCGGTCGCAGCTGTCTGATGTCATCACATACAATGCAGGATCAGCAGAGAATGTCAAGGACCTATCCACATCCTGGAAATGTCAGATGATGAAGGAGAGCACTGTCTGTTGTGGTAGCAGGGAATAAGGTAAGTATTTCACCTTTCTAATCAACCCCTGGACCAGGGGTGTCAAACTCAATTTCACTGTGGGCTGCATCAGCATTATGACTGCCCTCAAGGGCCAATGTAAGACTTGATGTGCAGAGCACCCTGCCCCCCCCCCCACCATTAGAAGTCAGGAGTCCCTCATCCTCTCTTACATCATAGTGCACCCTCCTACCTTGTGCTGCTGTCGGGAAGAAACTAGGGGTGGAACTGGGAAGCAGAAAGTGCAGGGTCTGGAGGAGGACCAGTGGAGGGCTGGAGTTAGCTACCGGAGACTGCTGAATACTGAGACCAGGGGAGGTGGAGTCAAGGGGGTACTGCGGCTGCACACAGGCACAGTATGTGTTGGTATAAGAATTCTGTCAGACAGGGGGGAGGGTGGCAGAGACAAGCCTCTCAGCGGCTGAACAGAGAATCTGGCAGAGGAGTTTTGTCCTCCTCTCTGCAGCTGACTGCTGAGACAAGGTGGGGGTGGAGATGAGGGAGGTGCTACAGCTGCAGGAGAGGTACGATGGCCACATGAAATGGTCCGGCAGACTGGATTTGGCCCACAGGCCTTGTGTTTGACACGTGCCCTAGACACAAATGTTCGTTTAACCCTTGCAGTGAAGAGGAGGCCCCATGACAAGGGTATTTTTTCTACACTATGGAGTTCAGTTTTAAATATAATCCACTTTTTGAATCACATGTAAGTACCTGAATTCTTTCTTTAGTTTAGCTACCTTTATTCTCTATACAACAGCACTTGTAACAACAGAAATATTTAGACAGAATAAAGGTGAATAAAGCACCTGGACTGGATGGCATACACCCACAGGTCCTGAAAGAATTGAGCTCTGTCATTTCAAAGCCATTGTTTGTAATTTTTAGGGACTCTTTAATGACTGGCATAGTACCAGTGGACTGGCGTAAGGCCAATGTGGTGCCAATATTTAAAAAGGGGTCAAGATCTTTACCAAGTAATTATAGACCTGTTAGTTTAACTTCTATAGTTGGGAAGATACTGGAGAGTTTAATAAAAGAACACATAGATGATTTGCTGGAAAAAAAAAGACAGAAGTTGTCAAACAAATCTGATTTCTTTTTAAGAGGTGGCGAGCAAAACCTTGGACAGAGGGTTTGGCTGGTATACTTGGAGGGTTGGCTGTGGACGTGGTATACTTGGACAGAGGGTTGGCTGTGGACGTGGTATACTTGGACAGAGGGGTGGCTGTAGACATGGTATACTTGGACAGAGGGGTGGCGGTGGACGTGGTATACTTGGACAGAGGGGTGGCGGTGGATGTGGTATACTTGGACAGAGCGGTGGCGGTAGATGTGATATACTTGGACAGAGGGGTGGCTGTAGATGTGGTTTACTTGGATTTTGCAATAGCTTTTGACACAGGTCCTCACACATAGCTAATATGTAAGGTTGGAAAAATCTTGGCTTGGAAAAATCAATATGTAAATGTATAGAAAACTGGGTAAAAGAATGCATTCAGATAGTAGTGGTTAATGATTCATACTCTGAATGGTCTAGGGTTGTCAGTGGTGTACCCCAATGTTCAGTGTTGGGACCCTTACTTTTTAATATATTTATAAATAATATAGGGTCTGGGATTAAAAATACCGTTTCAGTCATGGCAGATGACACCAAGCTGTACAGTGGAATAATGTCCTTACAGGATGTCTCCACTTTACAAGCCGACCTCAATGCACTGTTTAATTGGGCAACTATGTGGCAAATGAGGCTTAATGTTGATAAATGTAAGGTTATGCACTTGGGGGCTAAGAATATGCATGCATCATACATACTAGGGGGAGTACAACTGGGGGAATCAATGGTGGAGAAGGATCTGGGAGTTCTGATAGATCACAAGGTTAATAATGGCATGCAATGCCAAGCTGTGGTTTCTAAAGCGAGCAAAATCCTCTCTTGTATTAAAAGAGGTATAGACTCCAGAGAGAGAGATATCATATTACCCCTGCACAAATCATTAGTAATACCTCATCTGGAATATGCAGTTCAGTTTTGGGCACCAATTCACAAAAAGAACATTGGGGAACTGGAAAAAGTGAAGAGAAGGGCAACCAAACTGAAAAGAGGCATGGAAGAGCTCAGCTATGAGGAAAGATTAGAGGAACTGAATTTATTCTTTCTTGAGAAGAGGAGATTAAGGGGGGATATTATCAACAAGTATAAATACATCAGAGGTTCATATAGTGAACTCGGTGTAGAGCTATTCACCTTGAAGTCATCACAGAGGACAAGGGGTCACTCTTTACGTCTGGAGGAAAAGAAATGCAAGCTCCAAATACGGAAAGGTTTCTTCACAGTGAGAGCTGTGAAAATGTAGAATAGACTCCCTCAAGAGTTGGTTCTGGCCAGCTCAGTGGATTCCTTCTTGGATACACAGAATATAACTGGTTACTAACATTTATTGGTAAAGCTGATCCAGGGAATATCCGATTGCCTCTCGGGGAATCAGGAAGGAGTTTTTTCCCCCTGCAGGAGCAAATTGGTTTTTTTTTGCCTTCCTCTGGATCAACTGTGGTTATAGGATTAAAAATTTTTTTTTTTTTTTGTTGAACTGGCTGGACTTTTGTCTTTTTTCAGCCAGAGTAACTATGTAACTAAGTAACTATGTAGCACTTGACTAGGAGCAGGATGGTCAACACTTTGAGTGAAGCAGAGTTCTAATTCTATCAGTCTACCACATACATTACAGAAGAGTTAAGACATGACCTCATATGTATGCCGCAACACCTTTATTGTCCAGTCATCAAGTTGGGGGAGGGTCCGTGACAGGGGGGACTGAAACTCATGGGGCCCCCGGGCAATAGGGGACCATGGGGCCCCTCTGTGCTTGCCCACACTCAAAAAATCCTATAAAAAAGGTACCAGGGGCATTTCATGGGCCCCCTACTGACCCCGGGCCCTCGGGCAGTGCCCGAGTGCTCAAATGGTCAGTCCGCCCCTGGTCCGTGACTAAGCATTACTGTTAACCTCTACTGTAGGGTAAAGACACAGCTAACTTATCTACCAGAGATGTCTGGCTCAAAACTAGTCTTTTCTGTACGCTCCACTCACTTCTGCTGCAAGCAAGACCAGTCAAGAACAAACTTGACTTGTCCCCATGCACAAGATGAACGTCCAAGAAAATAAATCGGTCTACATTGCTCATCTGCTTGATCGTAGTTTTATTAACAGCTCAGTAGGCACAGTCACTCATTAATATAAAAACCTTTTTAAGAGCAGCTTGAAAAGCATGTCAAAAGCAGATGAGTAGATTCCCAATGACTTCAATGAAGTATTGTAGACAAGGGTTTAGAGGTTGTGTTTGTCCAGCTCGGTGGTTTATCAGACACAGCATGTCCTATTGAGTTACGTTTGAACTGCAGGTAAAGCAAGTAAAATGCAACCTTTTGAGAAATGTTATGCTTTACATATTATTGCATACGTTTGAGCAGTGCTGCGTTCAAAATAAAAAGGCTGCATTTGCAGAACGCCCATCTACATGAGCCTATAGAGTGGTTCTAGTCTGTATATCAGTCTACCATGTAAGACTGCCAAATATTAATGAACTGTGAGCTGTATATCATTACACTCAATCCCTCTCTCCCCCGAGAGCAAGTAGATCAGGTTTAACTCCTTCCTCTAGAACCTTTTTAATGAGCAACCGATATATCTAGTGTATAATTAAAAAAAAAAACTAAAACTTGTGTCTGGAAATTCCTATGGACTTAGCAGGACATTAGAATGTCCAATAAGACTGTTAAGACTGCAGTGTTTTATAGTAATCAGTCAATTGAAATGTGATTTCTGTGGATTACTGCACCTTTTCTTGTCATCATTGCTCTCTGCAATGCATAACTTTAAAACACAAAAGCACAAAGACATTAAGTCCCCTTTCACACAGGGCAGACCCATCATCAGGTCCGCTTGCTCAGAGGGGGATCTGTGTTATGCAGAGTTGATAGGGACACAACCCTCTGTCCTCTATGGGCAGTCGGATGGAAACGGACCACCTGTCCATTTCCATCCGATTGCCATCCGATCCAATCTGACAGACGGAACGGGGACGGATTGCCATACATCTCTTTTTGGCAGATTGGATCAAATTGGATGTCAGATGGTGTAAACAGTCACATTTCCGTTTACACCCACCGCTCCATAGAGGAGAATAGAGGTTTCCATTTGGGTCGTCCGTGTGAAAGGGGCCTTATGCATATGCTTTTTCATGTCTTATCAGTGCATGTAAAACATACAGCGCTACCCCCGCAGGAGCTGCTAAGTTTTGGGGCCCCCTAAGCTCTACACAGCCAGGCAACATGCATTTTCCACTCTTGCAACCAAAGTCAGTAAACAGTCCATGAGCTTTGTTTTGTTTTATTATGCGTTAAACAGCTTTGATAGGGTCTAGGGGAATATGGGAGGCCCAATGGAACTGAAACAACTTGAAGGACAAGCTTCTTATGTGCAAAAAGCAGAACAATTAGATCAGTCTTTTCTAGGAGGACTTAGTCCTCTTAAATGAACCTTCTTCAGACCCCAAATAAAAATCTCCGCATTCACCTGGCTATCGTGAAGAATATTCCAGAGCAAGGGATTCTGAGACACACATGAGAATTCTGCCCCAGGGAGAACTAGTTGGGTATTGCACCTAACTGCCCTCTTCCTTGTAGGCCCAGGGGGTGTAGAGGTACTCACAGTGTCCTGTTCTTGTAGCTGTAAAGACTTCTTCCCCGCTGACAGGCTGTCCTTTCCTGTAGACTGTGGAACAATGAAGGTCACCCTTTCCGGTTCCAAGACTGTAGGTGGGGACCCCTCCCAGACTCCACACCAGCAGCACTTCCTCACTCCATCTTCACACTTGACTCCCTTGCTGACCAGACTCTCTCATATTTAAGGGCTAACCTAGCCACACTGCCTGACCTCCTGCCTGGGATTGGCCAGACTGCCATAAATATACAGATCAGCCCCCCCCCCCCCCCCCCACCTACTGGCTTCTAGAAACGTCTCCAAGTCTCTAGAGCAGGGGAAGGTTCCAGAGTACTGTCCTGTAGAGTCCTCCATCTCTAACCTAAAGTGAGCTTGGTAACTCACACCTAGGCTGACTCACACCTTGGAACCACCTAGGTGCTGACAACACAACCCAGGCTTCTAGCAAGCCTCTAATTATACACAAAAAAGCCTATTATAGATGCAGACTTTACTTCCTGCTTTGCACTGAAACACAGTAATTATCCTTTACTGCTTATTCTCAAAACACAAGTCTAGGAGTAGGCTAACTTAAACCAGCCATACATTGATAAAAATTCAGCCAGTTCAGCTGGGACCGGCCAAACATTGATACATGTATGGGCAAGCTGGTTGTACAGAAGTCCATCTGCCAACTGATTTCTGTACAACCAGCCTATCAGATTTGGCTTTGGTTTCTTAGTGTATTTATGTCTGCTAGTACATCTAACATTAACCCCCTTCCCAGACACACCATGCTGTTGTGCAAAGGTGCCTCCTGTGTTCCTTCATCCAGAGTGGGGCACTCTAATACAGGAAGTGTGTTTAATGGCCAGATCACCAGGTGAACACTGAGGGAAAAAATAAAAAAAAAAACTAATGCAGCCACCACATCTAATGATTGGTAAGCTGCACTATGTTATGGGCAGCACAATGTCTAAATGGTTAGCACTTCCACCTGGCAGTACTAGTGTCATCGGTTCAAATCCCAACCACAGCACCACCCACCTTGAGTTTGCATGTTCTCCCTGTGCTTCAGTTTCCTCCCACACTCCAAAGACATGCTGGTAGGTTAATTGGATCCTGTCCAAATTGTCCCTAGTATGTGCATGTATGAACATAAGTTAGGGACCTTAGATTGTACACCCCTTGAGGGTTAGGGACTGATGTGAATGTACAATATATGTGTATATTGACAGTGCTATATAAGTACCTGAAAACAATAATAATATTACATTTTGGGTTTAAGGTAAATACTGCAATAATAACATACAAAAAATATCTTGAGTGCTATGTGTGTATTCATATGATTCATGTTGCAGTATACATTGTGGTTGATTTACTAAAGGCAACTAGACTGTGCACTTTACAAAGTGCAGGTACTCTCTGCAAGTGCAGTTGCTCCAGAACTTAGTAAACCAGTTAAAGTTTCACTTTTCAAAGAATACCCAATCATGTGCAAGAAAAATTTAAAAAAAACAGCATTTTTGCTTGCACATGATTGGATGATGGATGTCAGCTTCTGCTCATTTACTAAGCTCTAGAGCAACTGCCCTTGCAGAGTGCAATTGCACTGTGCAAAGTGCAGTCTATTTGCATTTAGTAAATCAATCAATTAAATCCACACCTGAACCACATT